AGGTACATTTTCTGTATGTCCTTGTTTGTCCTGCTGTGCCTCCCTGCCTTGTCCAGTAGCGCGTTCTGGGTCCCATGCAAACCCTGGGGCAGAGGGGACATGGAGCAAAGCTTAACCGATGCTTCAAGGGGAAACTCTTAATGTGCAAGCTGGAGCAGCTGGGGAGAGAGAGCTGCAAAGTAAGCAGAGACCGCACTTCTCTGAGGAAAAACAGAGTGACAGATCTACAGTCAAGCTGCAGGGACAGCAGAAAAGCCTTTCCAGAGGCGATGTGGTACAATTTGTTAACCCAGGGGGCCACTAAAATTCTGCAGTTACTACAAAACGGAAGCTTTTTCTTTAATCGTCGTTCTCTGAGTGTATGTTTAAAAGTTACCATGTTTAATGCTTTAAAACTTAATGTTTAAAATCCTTTTAATTTTAGAAGAGTCTGTACTGGAAATGGCACAGGCTGTCTAGCTGTGGTGGATAAAAGCTAAGACACCATAGGTAGAAGCAGAGGTACTCTATAGGACCATAAGTAAGCCTGGAGCACTCTGGGATGTGGATGCTGCTAAGTTTGCATTTGAGAAGCTCACAGCAGAGATGGAAAAAGCCCTTTATTTCTATAAAAAACGAAGGCTGCAGGATCTCAAAGTATACTATGAGATCAAAGTGTGATTCACCTTGCCTAACTTCAGGTATTTACAGCTTAGGAATCTCTGTCTGAGCCGATTGCCTTTGTCTCTCTTTAAAGTTAGTGGAGAGTAATGGACAATTTTAAGGTACAATTAATGTGATGTTTTAAAGACATTTATTTTTGGATAAGGTGAATTATGTCCCGGAAGCGAGTCACTGTAGTGACCAGTGACTATAGTGGGAGTATGCAGAGACACTACAGATGTGATACTGCCTTTAGTGACAAGCATCCTATGCTGGTAGGTTTATGCAGGCAGTAGCAATAGTCAGACTTTTTGTTTTCAGTCCTAGCATATGTGGTGCATCATGTATGGATTTTTTTTCCTTACCTTGATCCTTGCTATTCTTAGCTCTGGGACTCCTTGGGCAGATTGAGGTACTTCTTCTAGACTGTGAGACCGGTCTCCAGTTTTTCAGCTGATGTGTCTTGGCAAATCTCCCTCTGTTGTGCTAAGCACAAATCTGTTTGGGTCTCTCTTGCTTCAAACCCATGCTTTTGCCCCCTGCAGAACACAATAGATAAGGGTAGCTCAGAAAGTCATCTCACACAACTGCATCTAGATCCACTTTGCAGCCAGCCTTCCTTGTTGCTCAACAACTTGTGACCTTCTAAAAAATCTCCTTCGGACCCAGTATCCATCAGAGCAGGTGGCAATGCTGCTGTTTCCTCCTCTGGCACTTGGGATAGTAAATAGGTCTGCTCCTTGCTCTGCTTTTGGCAGAGCTTCTCCATTTGCAAACTACAAGCAATGAAACTTTAGTCCCTAGCATCCCTCCTACCAACACAGCTTCTGCAGACCCGTCGAGGCTGAGTGGGGCTGTGCCAGGTGCCAACAAAAAAATAGAGACAATGAGCAGAGGGGGGAATTGCAAAGCAAATTTTGAAAATTTTTTGCCAAAGGAAAAAAAAAGAAAAATACTTATCCCACTGTGAGAGTTTCTCAATGCTGCCTAGAGCTATTTCTCCTCTCTGTGCTAAAGTGTAAATCAAGCAAAACAGCCTGCTAATATTTTTTGTAGCAGGCTGATGGCACACAGGGCTCCCCTTCCCCTGAGATCCCAGGATGGGTCTGTGAAAGGCCAGACTGTCCCAGCTCCCCCTCATTAGCTTTACTAAACCCCTGCATAACTGGATTGATTGCAAGTAGAACAGGTCAGAGGAAGGTAACTCCACTGTGCGGAGGACTTTCCAAAGTAATTTGTAATGAAAATTGACATTTTTTGCAATTCCTTCTGAAAGGAAAGGGAGTCCCAGCTCCAGGGCAGGCTGCCAGGTGACTGCATCCCCTAAGCTGCAGACTGCCAGACCCCTCTTCTGCCCCCACGCTGGCTGGCTGTCTCCTTCCCATTGCATCTAACCCTCTTTGGGTGATTACACTAGCATTGATTGGGGGGGAAATATTAAAAAGGGCAGATCTTTGACATTTTTTCCTCAAAACAAATGTTTCTGAGAGAACTAGAAGAATGAAAGTGGAATGTGGATTTGCTCTCTCTGAGAGCAATTCTTTGTCTGCTGACAGTCATTGGAGATCTCCCGCTCTAATGGTCTATCTACTTCACGCAGCATCTGCTACCTTCAGACTCCATTAGTCCATCACTTACAGGAATCAACATTTTCAAATGCGATCAGAAGGCCAGACAAGCACATGTACATCTTTACGTGGTTCATCTGCCTACGCATTGCCACCACTTATACAACGGGTAGATAGAGCAAGATTCCCCCAATTTTTGTTTTCCTTTAGAAACTGAGGTACCATTATGCAATGTCAAAGCCTAAATGGCTGAAATGATAAATAACATATTTCTTTTAAGATAAAGTCCTCCGAGTCAGCAGTGTCGTATTTAGCACCAGTGGGACGTTCTTATTTGTTTTCTTTCCAGCCTTTGTCGTATTAAGTATCCAGCCTCTTGTACAAGCGCAGTCATTGCGTACCAGGTGCTGGTGATTCGACAACTGCGTTTGAAATTCGTAGCTGGCACATGTGCATGATTCTTGATGCCTTTAGGAGGACTCAGACATTTTGCTATCTTACTGTGACATTTCCTTCTCAGAAGGCTATTGATTAAAACGATTCAGGCAAAGAAAGTGATCCTCCTGAGTCATTTCTCAGCAAGATGGTTGCATAATGTACGCAGTGTGGTATTGTGGTTTTTAAGGCAGTCCCCTGGATACAATTTCACAGACATCCAGTTTTGTCTTGTTCTCTGTCCTAAGGGAAATGGGAGCATTCTGGTAGGAATCTTGGGTATCTCTGACCGCTGTGACACAGAAATTGTTGGCTAGTTAGAAATATGAGACTGGTCGTTGTGTTGGGTTCTTGTATGAGATGGTGATGGGATGTTGTTGCATCCCAAGGTATTGCTGCAGTCCAAGGTATTATTTTCCTGATGAGACAGAGAAGTCATTTTACATAAGGAATTATGTAAAATGGCTTCTTGGAAGAATTAATTCCTGAAGCATTACAGAATAAAGCCAAACGTTCCTCAAATGCAGGCTATGATAATTTATTTTTATTCCTCAATATCATAATTACAGAATATTAACTTTTTCCCTTTCACATCTTAGTGGGCTTCTCATCTCTGTTGCTCAGAGTGGACCAGTTTTACTGGGATAATGCTGCAAATACTTGACTTATTGGAAGGAAAACATTTCTCCTTGACTGTATATTACTGATATGTGAGCTTAGGATTCCTCCCTCTTTTTTGACCAACACAGTTTATTAATGTTGGTTGTTTCATGGAAAACCATATGCTTTAACATACACGTACAACAGAGAAGTTTTCAGAAACATAAAGCTCTGTGCAGCTTGTAATGGGACTTGGAACGAAAATGAAACAGTATATTGAGAACTTGGTGCCCACATTTTGTCATTTTAAGTTGACTGCATCCTTGCGTTGTGGATTTAAACTGTTACTTAAGGAGGGCATACAAAAGGACAAGATCTGATCCTTAGAGACAGATACTTTGCAGGAATGTGTTAAAACTGAATTTGTGGTCAGCAGCCTTCCCTTCCCCTCCCCCTGTGCCTCACAGGTAATATTTATGTGTTGTTTTAAAGAAAAAATGTTCCAATTAGGAGGTCCACCATATGACATTTGAACTGGGTCATAAATAAGCAATGTGTTCTCAAGATGTTGTGAAAAGAAGATTGCCATGACTATTTGTAAAAAAAGACTAGGACTCAAATTAGGGTGTCTAATTGCCTTGGCTGCCGGCAATAACCTCAGAATGACTGGAGGCTTGCATTGCCCCGGTATTGATAATAACAACAAAATCAAAAGCGTTAATACAGTAGGTATACTACAACCTAAATACCTCTTAACACTCACGCTCCATTCATTTGGGTTTCCTCACTGAAATGAACAGATTTAACCTTTATAAAAGGCACCTTTACACTTGCTTTTTTACCACTGGGATTATTCAGATGACGGAAGATGGAAATGTATGTTCCAGTCCAGAGCTTGAACTCAGATGTCATTGTAAGTTTACAGCAGAATCAAATACTGTGAAAAGACTAGACAAAGTTGTTATAGTGATCAAAAATCAGCCATGCAAAATAAAGTATTTGCTTGTAAAATGTTTTTTGTGTTTCTGCTGTGTTCACTTGTGTCAGTGGAAAGTCTTTAAGCAAGGAGGTGGGCTTAAAAGGTTACTTTGGTTTCATATTTTCTTTCTGCAGGTCTTCACTGGGATTTTTACAGCAGAAATGATCTTCAAAGTAATTGCCCTTGACCCCTACTACTATTTTCAGCAGGGCTGGAATATTTTTGACAGCATAATTGTTATTCTAAGCCTGATGGAACTGGGTTTGTCCAGCATGGGAAACCTGTCTGTTTTACGCTCCTTTCGACTGGTAACGGTCTTATTCTATTCTTACCCCTCTTCTTTTATTACCTACAAACTCTGTCATGAATGCAACACATTTTCTTAAAAACGCATCTGCTGACAAAGACTTTAATTGCTGCAAACCGGTGAACAGTAAGTGACACTAATTACAGGCTGTGGGATAAATGGAATTTTTCCAGTTTTACATCAGGGTAAATGAGAATATAGTTTGATTCCTTCTAGCTGTGCCGGGTACTTGTAGCACACTTAAAATATTTGAGTTCAAATTTGTAATAAAAATCTACCATTTTATACCTGTACACCTGTTAGCATAGTCAGCAGATAATTGATAGCCCAAGAAAAGCAAAAGCCGGTAACTTGTTATTTTAGAAGTTATTATTCCTAAATTATGTTATAAACATGCCACTGTTCTTTTAAATGTTGTCAAAAGAAAATGTCTTTGAATTATTCACGGAGCGATTTTTTTTCCTAGAACTGATCAGCATAACATAGCATCTGTCTTTCACAGGAACTCCTTAGCTGTCAGCTCCTTTGTTATGCACGGGATAGTGGTATTCTATTAACGAGAGACTGTCGACATATTGGAACAGAAAAGTAGTTTCCTTGCCAGCCTGACATTTGTGTTGCACTTCATGTACCAGGATGTCCATGCTAATCATTCTAGTCATGATATGGCTTCACAACTTGGAAAGACCAGGAAAATAAGCCCTTATGGTTACATTTAGAGAAAGACTTTTATTTTTTTTTTCCCCAAAAATTCTCTGCACTGCTCAAAACCGCAAGTTTTTCGCCGCTGGTGTTAGGTCCTGAGAGTCTCCTGTCAGTTTTTGAGCAATCCTTCTTTAATAGGGCTGAAATTAAACCTTCAGTTGAAAACACAGCACAAGGGCTAGGCACAATTTACATCCTTAAAATAGGTCTTAAGTGGGATGTGGGTTGTGCATAGACTGCGTGATCCTCGGCACAGAGGTGATTTTCACCCTGGGAGCTAACAGCTAATAGCATCTGGCTGAGGCTTGCTCTGAAACACAGAGGCATTGCTTCTCTCTTTGTGGGATCAAACCCTACACCCCTTCCCCCAGATGCCTGCCAGGCTGTTTAATTTTAGGAGGAAAAGCAGTGTAAAAGAAAATATTAAGACCTGAAATTTCCTCTTTCCATCCTCTCCCCACCATGATATTGGGCAAATAAGCCTCTGAAAGCACATCTATCTAACAAGGCAAAGCATAGCTCTGGAAAACTTGATTCTCATCCAAGAAAACCAACTGATATTTTATTAATAGATGTAGTGAGGTTAACGGGAAGTGTAGCTAAAATCACCTTGTACCACGCACATTGTGGCATTTAACGTCTTTCACGTTTTACCCACTTTAATAATTCATCAGCTGAAATGTCTGTTGCTTCTGTGAACTGACACTGTTGTTTATGTTTTGTTCACAGCTGCGAGTCTTCAAATTGGCAAAGTCCTGGCCGACCTTAAATACGCTTATTAAAATCATCGGTAATTCAGTGGGTGCCCTCGGTAACCTCACTCTTGTGCTGGCAATCATCGTCTTTATTTTTGCCGTGGTAGGAATGCAGCTTTTTGGGAAAAGCTACCTGGACAATGTGAAGAAGATAAGCACAACTGGCAATTTGCCACGGTGGCACATGAACGATTTCTTCCACTCATTCCTCATCATCTTCCGAATTTTGTGTGGGGAGTGGATTGAGACGATGTGGGACTGCATGGAAGTAGCTGGGCAGCCGCTGTGCCTTCTCGTCTTCTTGTTGGTCATGGTGATAGGAAACCTGGTGGTGAGTTCTCAGGATGTTTTTTTCTCCATTTCCTGGTGGGTGTGTGCAAATGTACCATTTTTTTTTATCCAGAAATGGTAAATCTCACATTGCTTCATGGCTTTAATTCGATGAACCAAGGTTTCAACCAGAGAAACTTGTTCCTATCCCGAATACAAAATTGCTAGCATTGCATTACTACTTAGGAATGAAGGCTTACTGGTTTTTGCAGAAGAACAGACAAAGTTTTACTAGAAGAAAGGCACATGGGCTAGTTACAATGATTTTATTTCTTAAGCTATTCATGGGGCTGAAGGGATTCCAGATCTCTCTTCTGTACAGGAGTGAATATCACCTCAACTGGCACTGTATTGGGAGATATTTTTACTTCCCTTCATTTTTGGGCCAGAGCACTTCAACCTTACAGCTAGCACGGTGTTTTTGAGTAGCGTTTTGAATGTCTTTAGTCTGCATGTTCTAGGAAGCTGCAGGTTGTGTTTACAGTAATGTCACTTGCTCGCTTGCTTTTTTAATAGACTATCCCATAAGCACGGCTTACATAAGCTCTGAACCTATTAAGACTGAGTTGTATTTCCCTGTTGACATCTTATGGAGCGCTTTGCTGGCTTGCAGTCGTTGTGGAAATGTTTCGCCCGTTCAGCTTACAGAGCATCTTTGACATTGCGGCTCTAATGGTCTTACTGTTTATGTAGCGAGTTGTTTAATAGTAGATGCTGCTATAAAAAATGTTGGGGTTTGCTACCGATTGTTTTTAGTGGTTGCTTTGCTTTTAAGTACCCAGTGTTTTGGTTCACAGCTGCTGGGACAGAAAAGTCCTTGAAAGAGCTTGGAAAAAAAGTGCTTGTAGAAAAACAGAGCACATTGTTTTGTTTACATTAATTTATATTTTGACAGTTAGTTTTGCACTGAAAATGTTGATTGCAAGAGCAAATTATATTTGATAGGGGTTTTTTATAAAAGTCAAAAGACTAATTATGATTACTCAGAAAGTGGCAGGTAACTTATGTTTTTTTTCCCTAACTTCCTATTTCTATAGATTTTTCTTGGAGCTAAATGTGATTAGAGGAGTTGGGGCAAATTATTACTTTCTACATATCTCTTTGGGAGTTTAGCCTGAGATCCAGAAAGTTAACCTCACCCTGCCATTAAGGAATAGATTCTGTATATGATAATGAAACCTGAAAATAATATGTGGTGAAGTCTGGGGAAAATGTTAACATTTGAAATATTAATGGATTATTGAAAGATGTGAATTTGTAACATCTGATACCCTTAGATATTAACACTCATCAGTGTGTATAAGTTCTGTTAAATCTGATTTGGCAGAGATTGCACTAACATTGTCTGCATATATTTAACCTTCAGTGCTCAAAAAAGACTGTCCCAGATGTAAAACCAGGTATTGAAAAACTGTCAGCACGGATAAGCTGAAGTTACCGATCAGCTGAAAACAAAAATGCTAGCTTTATCCTTTTCAGCCAACAGTTCTGAAAGCACGTAGCAATGACAGGTAAATAGGAATTACTATTGTCTGTAGATCACTCCAAAAAAAAAAAAAAAAAAGAAAAAGAAAAAGAAAATGATTCATAGGTGTGAAAAGAACAACAGGTTCTGAATCATGAGACTCATCCAGCACCAACTGCGTTACATGGAGATTTCATGATGTTGATCAGCAGGTGGTGAGAAGATCATCTCATTCCTCTGGCATCAGCAAAATTCCTGCTTTTTTTCAGTGAGAGTGGATTGAATTCGCAAACTCACTTATTTGCTGAACATCATCAGACCCAAAAATTCTGGTGGTAGAAAAGCACCACGAGGCCTTTAAAATAAGACTCAAGTGCTAAATCTTTTACCTGTAACTCCGTTGAATCTGTGCCAGCAAAGTTTCTCTTTTAACTTGCTGATATTCTCCTTCCTCCTCTGAGTTTCAAGTTTTCTGATAAGAAAAATATTATCCTGAGGTTGTAGCTCTACTTGGACTCTGAACACTTTCTTAGTCTCTGAAGGCATGGAGGAAATCCTACAGTGTCTTTTCCCTGCACGCTCATCTTGATTAAATACTTTTATCCGTCACATCTGCCAGTACTTATGGTAGTGTCTGTGGTCACTTTCCCAACTGCAAGGCTAAGCGTTACAGAGCAGACCTGCTCTTTAACTTCTGTAAAGTAAAGGCTGCACACTGGTGTTGAAAGAGTTAAAACTGCTGTGATTCTGTGGTATGTTTGGTGATGTGGTGTGCAGGTCTTGGCGAGCCTCAGTAACATAAATTCAAATGAATGGTGGAGGAAAATACAGGAAAGTTGGTAAGTGCCCTGGGCAACTTCATGTTACAGAGCAGTGCAGCTGTTGAAAGGGATTTTAATAAATCTTAAATCTTTGGTTTCTATTCATATATCCTGAAAATGTCTTGGACCCGTGCAGTGCCACATGAAACTATGTTTACTGCTGGTCAGCTGATATTTGAGTCATCTGCAAAGAACTGAACTTTGCAACATAGTTGGAAAACTATGTGCTGTGTAACTGCCTCTTGCACAGTAAGACTGCGCTACTGTTGTCAGATGGCATTTTTAGAGTCATTGAAGACGCTTTGGAAGGTAAAATCAAACCAGCCAGATAATAAAATAGTTTCTCCCTCATTTGTAAGAAAGAGTTTCTGAAATTGCTAACTGAATAATTATGCTTACTGTTAAGTCTTATAAAGGGCTTAACATATTTCCTACGTATGTTTACGTTACTGAGGTTAATAAGGAAAATTACCGAGACAGGAATTATTAAGAAGATGTAGGAGAATTTGAGTAACAAGGCAGTCTTCAGTGCCCCCTACTCTGGCGGGTCAGCCGATGTGAGCGTCGAGTGTGACACCAGCCACTTCTCAGGGGACAATTGCGTGTAATGAGTGCTAACAACGTGCATGAATAAAACTGACACTCCAATCACAGACAGAACAACCTTCCAACCCCATTGTGTGTGCATGGCATACACTACCCAAGCCACCTTTTTATTATTCTGCCAGCCACCCGGATGAAGCATGTTTTCTACCAGCTTCTCCTGAGGTGCCACCAAGCGAAGGGCGACTCAACACAGGGCAGAAATGCACTCACTGTCTTTGCTCATGCTCTGATTTGGCTGTGTATTTCAAAGGCAGCACCCAAAAAGCATCAGTTAGTGTTAAACAAAACAAATACAGTGCATTAACTCACCCTCAGGGCTGAGTTTCTGGACTGCCGTTGTCTCACCTCTGTCTGATTTACATACAACCCCTAGTACTTCCATGGCACATCCACCACGGTTCCCCAATTCACCACAAGCTGGTAATTCACTGCTGCATTTCCATGGTGGATTTCATCTTCCTGGAGTCACAAGCGTGCCAAGATGTAGAGTCTGTAACTAGGGAAATGATAACTTCAGAATTTTCCTGAGGTAAAATGTAAGACTGGAAGTGCCCTTTTAGGATCAGTCCTACGTTTGGGATTTTTTTTTGTCTTCTGTCCATGGAAATGCTATTCACTCAGGAAAGTACTAATGATGTTTTCTGAAAACACAAAGGTAGAAAGCACCACCAATTTCTAGGGTATTAGCCTATCCTGCAGGAAGAATCGCATAACCATTATCGTTGAATTAATGTTTGATGCATGGAATTACAAAATACAAAGTGTAAGGTCATGCACTCAGCCCTATTTAAGAATTTATGTTACGACCAAGTAGCTTACCAAAAGAAAATGTTTGAGAGGATAATAAAAGTGTATGTATCAGTCACTATAGACATCTACATCTGAGATAATTGCATGGAGAAGCCTTTGTAGTTGGATTTGGTTGATGGAGTCTGTGAAGACATAAAATATCTTACCCAAAAAGACATCTAAAATACATCAGATAAAAAGACCCTACAGGTACCTATTTCTGTCCCTGAAGTCTTGGGAGGCAAACTCAGTTGTAGGTGTCCCCATGTACATATCATTCTGGCTGACTAAGCCAATACAATGTACCAATGTACCAATACATTTCACCCATCAAAAAAGTAAATGAGATTCTAATACATATCACAAAAAGTAATTACAGAGGAGGAAGGAGTGTATGAATGCTGTTGCACGGCGATCTGCAATGCTGGATATGCAATACACCTCATTAATGGCTCAAGAAAGATTAAATACCACGGGGAAAAGCACAGTATTGGAATATGAAGTTGATGAAGTGAATGCAGAGCTAGGTATGGGAGGAGAACAGTTTAACTGACAGGATACTGCTCATCCCCAAAAAAAGGGAGTATAAATCACGGTAGGTATCTTTAGTCTGGGATTGGAAAGGAGGCTTCTGACTACCAGCACAGTGAGGTTGTTTAAGAGGACTTTCCAGCATGACTGACTAACCCCAAATCAGCAGCATATGAGATGGAGCTTGATTAGTTTGTGAAGGAAATAACCCATGTTAGCAGGGGGCTTGACTTGGTGACCCAAGAGGACCTTCCAGTCCTGTCTGACTATGGTAATTTGAGTGCCTGTCAGCAGAGCTGCTCGGCACGGTTTGGATGAGATTTGAAGTGGCCTGCTTTGGTTAAACTCAGTGGAAACTTTTCTCTGAAAAAGCCAGATATGCCTGGAACCCATCCTTTTATTCTGCTTCCATGTCTCAGGAAGCCTTAATGGATATTTTTTCTGTTTTAACATGGCCCATGACTGTGACACACAGAAATCTGGAAGTCACATTCTTGGAAAAAGGGGGGTTGTCCCTCTCTATGTGCCTTTCCTACAAGTCAGTGTAGGACAGTTCCTGGAAGAGATGTTCTGGGAGGGTGCTGCTAAATCTCCATCATGTTAAAATCCATGAATTCTGAAACTGGTTAGATGCCAAGAAAAGCTCATTAGGTCTCACTCAACACCATTTTGATCTTTAACAACCAAAGCCTGTTGATAAAATGGCATATTACCAGAGCTGTTCTGACAGAGACATATCTCTGCAGCAGGGCAAGAAAGAAAGTAATCATGTTACAGGGAATGTGAGCA